GGTGGCCTGATAATGGTATGTATTATGTGTTCTATATTATAAATATAATTATGCAATATGCATGTGTATGTTTATATTATACTATCAAAATTATTTCGTTATTCAGATGTGTATTTTTCAAGTAACATACTTTCGACCTTGTGCCACACTTTATATATATATATATATATATATATATATATATATATAAGATCACCTATTCTTATGGCATTTGAGAGAAGAGATATTTGGAAGAATTTCGTTAAAACTTACCCCCCCAGCCTCTTCGTCTAACAAGATATCTTCCTCTCCCTTTTGTCTGCATTTTTAGCCCTTCCTCACATTTATTACCTCCCGCTACAACAAAAATTAGTTTTCTTTTTTTCTTGTCTGTATTTGTTTTTGTTTTTGTTTTCGTTTTTTTTTGTTTTTGTTTTTTTTTTTCTAATCAATTTATTTCTTGTGTTTGGTGCATTTAAAGCAGCCTGAAGATGCAATGTAAACGAACTGCGAAATAAATTTAAGTTTATAACTGGAAAATTCAAATGTAAGTTTTTGCTTTGAAATTTTTCTGATATATATATATATATGGGGGGGGTGCGTAAAAATTTCTCAGAATTAATCTATAGAAAAAGACAATCGGAAAACTGTAGATTGAGCCGACGCGCTTCATCCAAGTATAAAAAAAAGCCCTGGGTGGATGATAATAGGATTTTTTTCCCAATCTCACCTTTCCTAACAGAATCATTACTCTCTCAAGCCAACGTACACAACAAATATATGAAGAAATTAAAAGAAAATGACTGAATCCGTCAACACATCAATACAAACAATATTTCTACATGCGAATTTTTTTTCAGTGGACCATATCAATCTAAAATAGCGTTTCTAAATTCTAAAGGTTGTTTCGTTGTTTCACAGCTCATCGATGTAACTAGACATAAAAAAGACAATATTTATAAAAGAAAAAAAAAGAAAAGGATAACTGTAGTTTTAGCCGGCACGTTTCGTCCAATGTGAAATTTTTTCAAGGCAAAAAAAAGAAATGAATTTATTGAATCAAAGTCTTTACAAACGACAAACAAAATGTCTTTATCAAATAGAAGAATTTAGAAACGTAATTTTTCAGTTGACTTTATGAATATACAATAGCGTTTCAAAATTCTTCTATTTGCTAACGACATTTTGTTTGTTATTTATATATACTTTGTTTCAATAAAATCATTTCGTTTTTTGTCTTGGGCGAAACGCGTCGGCTATAACTACACAATTTTTCTTATTGCCTTTTTTCCTTTATACACACACACACACACACACACACACACACACACACACACACATATATATTACTATTATAAAGTAACTAATTTAAAATATGATTTCTTCGCTACACAGGAATTTCCATGTTTCAAAAACCGAAGCTGAAAACTTCAAATTTAATTATATAATTAAATTAAAAGCATTAGTTCTGTTTCATCTTCAAACGAATTTTGGAATCTTGAAGATCAAACAGAACTAGTTTTAGCCAACGCGTTTCGTCCAATGTGAAATTTTTCAAGGCAAAAAAAAAAGAAATGAATTTATTGAATCAAAGTCTTTACAAACGACAAACAAAATGTCTTTATCAAATAGAAGAATTTAGAAACGTAATTTTTCAGCTGACCATATGAATTTTCAATCGCATTTCAAAATTCTTCTATTTGCTGACGACATTTTTTCTTGTTTAGAGACACTTTGTTTCAATAAATTCATTTAGTTTTTTCCATATTGGCCGTAACAGAAACAGACTATCATCACTTTCTTGTCCGTGTATTGCTTAATATAGTGTACTGTAATTGACATCTTTGATAATGGCTTATATAAGCCGAAAGCTTAGATTGGGTTAAAAATATATATATATATATATCAATATTGTCATTTTCTTTTACATAAAAATAAATAGACAAAACTTGTCTATATTACTTAATGGAACATGTATGAATATATATATATATATATATATATATATATATATATATATATATATATATATATATATATATATGCATGTGTGTATTTATTGTAAAGAAATGGATGGATTTTTATTTATTAATTCGACGGATTTTTGTTAATTAAAATTTACTTTTTAGTAGATCTCGCGTATGAGTAGACGCCGTGTTTATTTATTTTCGGTTCCCGGCCTGAGTATAATGTGAACTTTTTTTTTTTTTTCAGTTGACCATATCAATATACAATAGCGTTTCTAAACTCTTCTAGTTGTCAACGACATTTTTGTTGTTTATAGATACTTTGTTTCAATAAATCTCTTTGGTGGGGGGCCTTGAAAAGTTCTCACTGGACCAAACGTGTCGGCTAAAACTACACAGTTTTCCTATTGCCTTTTCCTAAAAAACACACACACACACACACATATATATATATATATATATATATATATATATATATATATATATATATATATAATTATTTATTTAAAAATATTTTTAAGTAAATAATTATATTTAAACTCTACTTTTGTATCGAGCACTGTTTTTAAAAATAAAAACAAAAATACTAAAGAACTTCGTATTGTTTACCTAACGAGTTCTTTCCTATTTTCTATATATTTTCATAATATATTGTACTGTAATTGTCATCTTTGATAATGGCTTATGTAAGCCGAAAGCTTAGATTGGATTTAAAAAAATATGTATCAATATTGTGATTTTCTTTTACATAAAATAAATTGACAAAACTTGTCTATATTATTTAATGAAACATATATATATATATATATATATATATATATATATATATTTACGTTTCTAAATTCTTCACACACACACATATATATATATATATGTGTGTGTATATATATATATATATATATATATATATATATATATATATATATATAGGTACAACCCCAAAAAAGTGATACCTAATGATTAAAATGAATTTTAGAAAATGAAATATCTTTCTTCAAATTACTGAATTAATTTTTATTCCAAGCTACCAAATTAAATCTAATATTCCTAATAATCAAAAGACTTAATTGCATTCAAACCAAATTTAAATCGATTGGAATGATTTTTTTCTCTTTATCTACAAAATCTATAAAATCCCACATATTGCGACATCTAGCAACACAACATATTCCCTTTTTAAAAAGATCTTTCAAAAATAAAATATACTCACCTGTAACGTTATTTGAAAAAAATACCTAATTTCAAGTTTAATTAATCTGAATTGAAATAAATATTTATTAGTTTCAGTTTAAAATATCACAGAAAAGCCTTTTTTCAGTACGGAGGAGTCGTTTCTTTGGGTGTAATCATTCATGTATTGAGCGGCCTATGTTTGGAAAATTCAAGTACGGAAGACAAAATTAAAATAAAATTACATGACAAATACAATGTAAAGCACGACGTAAAGGAACGACAGTTTTTTTTTTTTAATTTTAAAAATAAATTTAGCATTTAAAATAAACGGGATTTATATTTCTGTGTTGTAACCTAGCGAAGGTTACTGAATAGAATAATCAAACGAAGGTTGGTAATGAACGATAATACTTAGGACAAGAACAACGCATATAAGATTCGACAGCGGCGCGTAGAAGCAGTCAACTGCTAGAAGCGAGTCAAGTGAATTCCCCAATGAATCTCCAACTGCAGGATATCTACCAACCGCTCCATGCGGTCAGATGTGACATAGGACCGAGTTTAATGTGGGGCATCCGAACCCGTAGGCTTGGCCAAAAATTCCCTATAGACGCTGTATAAAACAGGTTCGGGTAGCTATTTCCCAAGACGAGACTCTGCCCTTCGACATGGCCTCGTCTAGGGATCTTCTCTGCCCGAAGACAGAGAATTTGACCAGCACAGCTGGAGACCAACTGCAGGATATCTACCAACCACCCTACGCAGTCAGATGTGGCATAATCTTGAAATAGTCACAAACACTTCCAAAACCATTATGGATATACTAAGATCTTCAATAGCAATATTTCTGAAGCAGGCATTTATAAAATAAATTGCCAAAAGTGTTCCTCACAATATATTGGAGAAACAAGTAAAAATTTAAAAAAATGTATTTATGAGCACAAAAGAGACCTCACAAAAAACAACTTAGCTAATGCACTAGTCATACATAGAAATAAATTCAACCACAATTTTGATTTTAAAAATGCTACACTCATAAAAAAAAGAAAATAACTCACTTAGAATGAAAATTCTAGAGAGTGCCGCCATTGAATATTACCCAAATATTAATCTACGCTCAGGATTTTTTCCCTATTCCACCTTTCTTAACAAAATTACCACTCTCCCAAAGGTACACAACAATATCGTAAAATCAAAAGAAAATGGTTGAATCCTTCAAAACAGAGATAATAACAATATCTCCACACGTGACAGTAATTGACGTAATTTTCAGTTAACAGTATGAAAATAGCGTTCTCTAAATTCTTCCAGTTGTTAAGGACATTTTGTTTTTGTTATTATTAGTTACTTTGTTTAAATAAATTCATTTCGTGTTTTGCCTTGAGAAAGTCCACATTGGACGAAACGCGTCGGCAACTATTACAGCTTTCCTATTGTCATTTATATATGTCATTTATATATATATATATATATATATATATATATATATATATATATATATCTTCTCTCGTGCGTTCAGGTTAGTCAATGAAATTAAAATATATTTCACTATATTTAAATCAAGGTATTAAGGCCAAATATTCTGAGTGCTCTCAGATATAAACTTATGATTGATTGATTTTTACGGTTTATCAACCTTTCCTTTTACAGGTTATTTAAAACCAGAAAAAAATCTTGGATTGTAACAATGATTGAGAGATAAAATTTTCCGATACAAGTCGTACTAATTAACCCATTAACTAGGAGGGGGCGGGAGAAGTGGCTGAATATATTTTTCCCAAGTGTTTTTGCGCGTAAGTGAATATCACAGACCAGACTGGAATTGGAACTCGGCTCTCCAATTTCCAAGCAGTTATCCATTACACCACCCGCACATCCAAGCTTACGGCACCCGGTATTCCCACGCGGTTACCCATCTAGCTACTGACCAGGCACAACGTTGTTTAACTTCGGTAATCAGATGAATATAACGTTTAAAGTGATAAGAAATGCGTATGTGAGTGCGCGCACGAGCGTGTGTGTATATGCGTATTTGTGTGTGTGTGCGCGTGTGTATCTCTGTGTATGTGCCTGTGTGTGTCTGTGTGACTATGTGTATGTATCTGTGCGTGTATGCGTTTATGCATGCGTTTTTGTGTATATGTGTGTATGTCCGTGTATTTGTTCCTGTGTTTGTGTGTGCGCGCACCCGCGTGTGTGTGCATATGTGTATTTGTGTGTGTGCGGGTATGCATCTGTGTGTATGTGCCTGTGTGTGTATGTGCCAGTGCGTGTGCATGCGTGTTTTTTGTGTGTATCTATGGTGTACGTGTATGTTTATATGTGTATGTGTATATGTGTGTGTCTGTGTTTGTGTGTATGCGTTTGTGTGTATATGTGTGCCTATGTCTCTGTTTTTGCCCCCGTGTGTGTGTGAGAGAGAGAGAAACAGAGACAGAGATAGTGCACGCACGTGCTCCCTTCGGCCACCAGCGCATTCTCCGATTAAAATGATTCCACCACTGACTATTAGTCATTATCGTAATTAGGCGTGTCACGTGACACTGAAAATGGCATGGCGACTATGAAAGGGGTCAAAAGACGGGAAAGTTCTTGAAGAACGGTATGTGGCGCTTACGGATGAGAAAATAAGGAACCTATTTTTTATGAGCACCACCGTAAATATGATGGCGGGTTCAAATTGAACTGACCGCATAAAAAATTTGGCCAAGCGAAAAATATTATGATTTTTTTCTCTGCTTTAATTCAAGAAAAAAAAAATCAAGAAAAAGAATCAACATTAAAAGAAAGAGACAGATTTCTAGCCAAATATAAATGGTAATCGGTTAGTCATATCGATGTATTCAGTGCGTGATATTAGAGAAATCTTAGAAGTGTTTGTCAGTTCCTTGCACGTATAAGCATTTAACTGTATACGTCCTTTACAAGCATTATGGAAAAAAATCCGAAAGTAAAAAAAAAATATGTTGTCTAACACAAAAAATATATGTCTTTAGTTTTGAAACTCATTGTAAATAAGAAAATTTCATTGGAACGGTTTCTTCCCAAGAGCCGTTGCTTTGTAGAACTGACTCCCGAAACAATGCTTCCTCAATCACTGGATTCTTAACCTTTTCAAAATCTAAGGTCAAACGTTATCTATCCTACATATCCTCATAATCAGAACTTTCTACCACCTCCTCTTACGGCCATAAAACATCATTCAAAAATTTTGAACCGTAAATCGTCATTAGCTTCCGAACAGCGTAATATTTAAATAAATAATCTCAATTTATTTTTATGTTCTTTCTGGTGAAGCGTCATTACTTTCCGAACAGCCTAATGCAGACAAACCTCTCATCTACGGACCCCCCCCCAATTAACGGACTTTGGATGCAGCGTAGAAAATATGCAGGCAAAATAAAAAAAAAGTCTGCAGGAAAAAGAACTTGAAAATCGTCAGCGATTTATTTCGAAATTTGCTGGATTAGTGGAAGAAGTCATATTAGTTCTCAAAGTGACCGCTTGGTGGCGGTGGTGGGCCTTTCAATTCTAAATAAAGACGAGTGTACAGTATATAAAGTACGATACATTAGCGTGCGCGTGAGAAAGTAGCTGTGAGAACTCTATTATTTTTGTTATTTTGATTAATATATCTATATTAAGTATATATATTTTTTATGCTGTATATACATGTTTATAGTCTTTAAATTATTATCATAACTACTGGTAGTTACTATAGTGGTTTTATAATTCCAAAATAATCCCTTTACATCTATGGACAATCGGCTTTAACGGAACCACATCCCCTAATTAGTCCGTTGATGAGAGATATGTCTGTATTTCAATAAATTTAACTTGTTTCTTTTTATATCTTTTCTGCTAAAACGTCACTAGTTTCCGAACAGCCTAATATTTCAAGGAATTTTTTTCGTCTTCTCTTAAAACGTCACCACTTTCTGAACAACCTAATATTTCAATGAATTTCTTTTTCTTTCCTACTAAAACGTCACTACTTTCCGAACAGCCTAATATTTCAATGAATTTTTTTCGTCTGTTCTTAAAACGTCACCACTTTCTGAACAACCTAATATTTCAATGAATTTCTTTTCTTTCCTACTAAAACGTCACTACTTTCCGAACAGCCTAATATTTCAATGAATTTTTTTCGTCTGTTCTTAAAACGTCACCACTTTCTGAACAACCTAATATTTCAATGAATTTCTTTTTCTTTCCTACTAAAACGTCACTACTTTCCGAACAGACTAATATTTCAATGAATTTTTTCGTCTTTTCTGTTAAAACGTCACCACTTTCCGAACAACCTAATACTTTAATTTATTTTTTTTTTATTTTTTCTGCTAAAACGCCATTACTTTCCGAACAGCCTTATATTTCATTAAATTTAACAACTTCTTTTTATATCCTTTCTAGCAACAACAAAATACTTTTTGAATATTTAACATTTACATTAAAAAAAAAACATCTGTTTGTTTTTTTTATTTCTTTCCTTTCTGGTAAAACCTCATGACGTTTCAGACACCCTAATATTTAAATACATTTAACCTTATTTCTTTTTTGTCTATCCTTTCTGCTAAAACGTCCTTATTTTCCAAACACCCTAACATGTCAGAGTTCATTCAAAACCGAGCCTTTTCCTTCCGCATTCTTCCGGGGGGTATGGCAGGGGCGGGGGAGGGGGTTTTATCCCGTCAGAATAGATGCTGGAGATGTAGTATCTGTTACGTGCAGCAGGCCTTCTCTCTTAGCTTGCGTCTACCATATTGCGTAACATCTTTTACGTAGCGGTGGTATGATAATCTATGACGAGCTTAGACAAGCTATGACAAGATAAGATCAACTTATACAAGCTTTGACCGGCTTAGAAAAGCTATGACCAGATAAGACCAGATTAGACAAGCTTTAACGATCTTAGACAAAGTAAGACATGCTTAGACAAGCTTTCACTAACTTAGACAAGCTCTGACCAGCTTAGTCAAGCCATGACCAGATAAGATCAGCTTAGACAAGCTTTGACCAGCTTAGTCAAGCTAAGACCAGCTTAGAAAATCTATGACCATATAAGACCAGATTAGACAAGCTTTGACCGGCTTAGACAAGCTTTGACCAGCTTAGACAAGCTTTGACTAGCTTAGACAATCTATAACCAGGTTAGGCAAGCTTTGACCAGCTTAGAAAAGCTTTGATCAGCTCAGACAAGCTAAGACCAGCTTAGAAAAGCTATGACCAGATAAGATCAACTTAGAAAAGCTTTGACCAGCTTAGACAAGTTTTGACCAGCTTAAACAAGCTAAGGCCAGTTTAGAAAAGCTATGATCATATAAGACCAGATTAGACAAGCTCTGACCAGCTTAGTCAAGCTATGACCAGATATGACCAGCTTAGACAAGCCTTGACCAGCTTAGACAAGCCTTGACCAGCTTAGACAAGCTTTGATCAGTTTAGACAACCTAAGACTAGATAAGACCAGCTTAGACAAGCTATGACCATATAAGACCAGCTTAGACAAGCTTTAACCAGGTTAGACAAGCTTTGATCTGATTAGACAAGCTTTGATCAGCTTAGACAAGCTAAGACCAGGTTAGGCAAGCTATGACCAGATAAGACCAATTTAGATAACCTTTGACCAGCTTAGACAAGGTATGACCAGCTTAGACAAGCTTTGACCAGCTTAGACAAGCTAGGGCCAGCTTAGACAAGCTGTGACCATATAAGATCAGATTAGACAAGCTTTAACCAGCTTAGACCAGCTCTGACCAGCTCAGTCAAACTATGACCAGATAAGACCAGCTTAGACAAACAATGACCAACTAAGTCTAGCTTAGACAAGCTCTGACCAACTTAGAGAACATATGACTAACTTAAAGCAGTGGCAGGGGAGACACTCGAGTCCTCACGTTAAAAACCGACCTTGTGCGACAACCTCGGTGGGGGAGGGGTAAGGTAGATCTGGGGTTTATTCCGAACCGCAAAAGGAAATTTGAACTCAATTTGAGTTACTTTGCAGTGTGCATATTCCTAGTGACTCAATACTGGTTTTTCTGGAAAAATAAAAATTTTAAAAATTTTAAAATTCTCTTCTTCCGTCTTGTAAAAAAAAAAAAAATATTTTTAATTAAAAATATTACTTATGTTAGCCCAAAGTCAAGTTGTATCCGAAAAGATTATCTCTATGCCCGTAAAAGATCACGTTTGTAAAGTTGAGATAAAATTTTCAAATAAAAACTTTTTCAAAGTTAAACAAACATACGAAACACTGATAGAAGTTGTAAAAAAAAAAAAACTTTTAAAAAGTTGGAAAAAATTCAAATTAATTTTTTTTCTTGTAAATAATTTCCTTTTTTTTTTAGCCCGCCGGTGAGAAGTTCGCAATTACGATTCGACAATAGTCGCCTAGCTTTGCACGAACGTCACTCCATCAGGCAGATTAGCAAGTAAGAGTTTGATAAAGCGTATCAACTTGTTGATAAGAGACAGCTATAAATATGGATAAAATGGCATTAGAATAAAGAAAGAAGAAGCAAACAGATTCGTAAGAAGTGTTGAAATAAGGAATTAAATAAATTTGGGAATTTATTAATTTTCATTGGAACACGTACTAGCAAAAGAAAACGTTGAATTTGGGTGCAAAATCTTATCTTTATCTTTATTGTGGGTCGAATAGGAAGGAACAGACGAAGTTTGCGTAAGAAAAGTCAGTGATTATGTTAAGAGTGAAAAATTAAATTTTCAAACAGTCTTTTCTTGGCGCCAAAATGTTCGTTAGAAACAAAGAAAAGAGTATTGAACTGTTATGTAATATGAGTCCTCCTATATGGCATTGAATGCTGGACAATCTCCTCACAGATGAAGAAGAGATTTGAAGCAATAACAATGTTCATTATTTACATTATTCGGACTAATGTCCTCATCTTTGTCGCCATATTTATCACAATGTTTCGGCCGTTGTACGCTCCGGCCTTC